GTTTACCCAACCTCAGCAGGACTATTCCCCATCATCCCACCCCTTCAATGTGAGCTGCCAACACTGCACCTGGGCCCACCCCTCCCCACACAGGTGGCTGGCAGGATCTGCTGCTCTGGGAGTACTGTGGGGCTTCACTTACCTGTTTCCAATCTATCACTTCATTAGTCCGCTAGATCCAACATATTTTTTTCTCTTTACCCCTCACATGCCAGGAATACTGGAGTGAATGAATCTCAGCCTCTGCCCTCAAGGTCGTGCGCCTAAGCGAGGCCTGAAGGAGGGGGAGGGGACCAGCATGTGCTGGGGCTGGGAGGCCAGACTTCCTTGGGTGTCCCACATCAAGAAATGAGGCCGGCCAGCCAGGGCTTCGTAGCCACCCGGATGCCTGTGCACTTTAATCCGAGGGTGATGGAAGTCCCTTTCCCCTGTTTTTATCTAAAAGGTTAACTTCCAGGGGGTGGTTTAAGTCCGTGGGGGCTCTCTTGTTATGGTGTTTGCTACATAAATGCTCAGGGTAGTTCCTTATTGACAAATGGTTAGTTAGAGATGGGCCAAGCCTCCCCCAGCCCTTGGAGGGATAAAGGGCCTCTCATTAGCTTGCAGTGAGTGACTGGCAGGCTGGCACAGCCCTGTCCTTGTCCCTGCTTGAACCAGGCTCTTATGTAAGCAGAGTCCCCAGGCCATTCAGTCAGCCCAGGGGACTGCAGGGTATGTGTCGTACCCTGGGCCCTTCGGAATTATTATTTTCTTCTTGTTTAAAGGGAGCATTGGCCAGGGCCATGCCAGTTGTGTGGTGGGCCCATGGGAACAGTGCCTGTCATCAGGGTGGGTGTGGGCTGGCCAAGTCTGGGAGAGGGTGGTTTAACATTGGCACTGAGGCTTCACGGAGCATTAGGAAGCAGGTTGAAATTTGAGGGGGTCACAAAGGGAGCCTCCAGTCTTATGGGGAGAAGCTGTCTCCCAGGCACCTTAGGAGTCTATCTCGGCAGGGGGTTGCTGCATCAAGGCTTGTCAAGAGCTGGGGTTGGGAAAGCGTAGCTCTTGAGGGTGGGTGAGGGTAATATCAGAGTTCTTGGGCGATCTGTAGTCTGAAACAGTATATTATTGAATACTATTTGCTCCAGAGAATCATGTCGAACAAAATCTCCGGGCTGGGGGTGAGGATCCGCAGAGGACAGGGCTGGAGTTCAGATGGGTAACTCCAGTGCTGGGACGTTTTGGGGAGAGGCTGCTATTCTCATCTTGCCTGGAAATCCTGTCATTCAGGTTTCAGCTCGAATGTCACCCCTCTGAGAGGCTCCCCCTGACCCAGCCAGGCCACCTGTCACCCTATCACCTCTCCTGTTTTAGTTCTCTACACAGACGTAGCACCTCCAGGGAGCATGTCAGTGTGAGTCCCTCACTCTCCTCTTTAACCTCGGCTCCTGGCGGGGCTCGGGAGACATGTGGAGCGAGTGATTTGGTATGTCTGCTAGAGACACTGTCCTGTAGAGCAAGGTGCATGGTAGGCCCAGGCAGTCAGCCATGTCTCAGAAGGCACTGCAACTCCAGGGGAAGGACCCTTGCCTGCTTGCAGGGTGCTTGTCTGTTTCAAGGCCTGGAGTTGATGGCTTGGAGTGCATGTGGCTTCCCTGTGTTAGCGTTGGCCCCCTTCTGTCGTGAAGCTGGTCTCTGCTCATCTTTAGCTATTTTGGAGCTTGACCATTCTCTTTTTCCCCCCTTTGACCCAAAGTTACCTGAACTCTTGAGTTGTCCTGTAAGGATAAGATGGGGATCCTGTGGGAAGTGCTAAAGCCATGATCAGTCCCCAAAAATACTTCCTGCCAGACTCCTCTAGGCCGGCTCAGGAACTGCACTGCCCACCACATTCCAGCTCACCTGGGGCCTCTGGACAGACACCATTTCCAGTCTCCGGCTGGGTCTGGGAACATGTACCATCCAGGGAGAAAGTATGGGGAAGGATGTCCCTGTCAAGACTCTTCGATTCCTTTCCTCTTGCTTCATTTCACTTTCAACCAGAAGGGCAGAGCAGAGCCAGCAGGCACCTGTGGGGCTTGCAGGTGGGAAGACAGCCGTGGGCATCTTGCTGAACCTCTCTCAACAGGTAGGGCTGGCGTTCTCAGTTTACCTTTCCCTTGGTAGATGTGGCTAGGCCTGTTAAACATTCCAGAAACCCAGTACCCTCTTGCACTTGTTACTACTCTATCTTCATCCCAAGATGTACATTTTTCCCCTCAGCGTTTTCAGAAGTT